TGATGGTGATGATGAAGGAGGTGATGATGGAGGTCCTGTACCTGGCTACCCAAGTGTTGGTGTTGGTGTTGAAGGAGGCGATGATGATGCTGGTGATGATGCTGGTGATGATGCTTGCGATGATGGAGGTGCTGTACCTGGCTATCCAAGTGTTGGTGTTGGTGTTGAAGGAGGCGATGATGATGCTGATGATGATGCTGGTGATGCTGGTGATGATGATGTTGATGGAGGTGCTGTACCTGGCTACCCAAGTGTTGGTGTTGGTGTTGAAGGAGGCGATGGTGCCTGTGAAGAGCACGGTGATGATGATGGTGATGATGAAGGAGGTGATGATGGAGGTGCTGTACCTGGCTACCCAAGTGTTGGTGTTGGTGTTGAAGGAGGCGATGGTGCCTGTGAAGAGCACGGTGATGATGCTGGTGATGATGATGCTGGTGATGATGATGATGCTGGTGATGATGATGATGATGATGGAGGTGCTGTACCTCGCTACCCAAGTGTTGGTGTTGGTGTTGAAGGAGGCGATGGTGCCTGTGAAGAGCACAGTGATGATGCTGGTGATGATGGTGATGATGGAGGTGCTGTACCTGGCTACCCAAGTGTTGGTGTTGGTGTTGAAGGAGGCGATGGTGCCCGTGAAGAGCACAGTGATGATGATGGTGATGATGGTGATGATGATGGAGGTGATGATGCAGGTGATGATGATGGAGGTGATGATGGAGGTGCTGTACCTGGCTACCCAAGTGTTGGTGTTGGTGTTGAAGGAGGCGATGATGATGATGATGATGATGCTGGTGATGATGATGATGCTGGTGATGCTGGTGATGATGATGATGGTGACGCTGTACCTGGCTACCCAAGTGTTGGTGTTGGTGTTGAAGGAGGCGATGGTGCCTGTGAAGAGCACAGTGATGATGATGGTGATGATGAAGGAGGTGATGATGGAGGTGCTGTACCTGGCTACCCAAGTGTTGGTGTTGGTGTTGAAGGAGGCGATGGTGCCCGTGAAGAGCACAGTGATGCTGATGGTGATGATGGTGATGATGATGGAGGTGATGATGTAGGTGATGATGATGATAATGGAGATGCTGTACCTGGCTACCCAAGTGTTGGTGTTGGTGTTGAAGGAGGCGATGGTGATGCTGGTGATGATGATGGTGGTGACAGTGTTGTACCTGGCTACCCAAGTGTTGGTGTTGGTGTTGAAGGAGGCGATGATGATGATGATGATGCTGGTGATGATGCTGGTGATGATGCTGGTGGTGATGGAGGTGCTGTACCTGGCTACCCAAGTGTTGGTGTTGGTGTTGAAGGAGGCGATGGTGCCTGTGAAGAGCACAGGGATGATGCTGGTGATGATGAAGGAGGTGATGATGGAGGTGCTGTACCTGGCTACCCAAGTGTTGGTGTTGGTGTTGAAGGAGGCGATGGTGCCTGTTAAGAGCACGGTGATGATGCTGGTGATGATGCTGGTGGTGATGGAGGTGCTGTACCTGGCTACCCAAGTGTTGGTGTTGGTGTTGAAGGAGGCGATGGTGCCCGTGAAGAGCACAGTGATGATGATGGTGATGATGGTGATGATGATGGAGGTAATGATGCAGGTGATGATGATGGAGGTGATGATGGAGGTGCTGTACCTGGCTACCCAAGTGTTGGTGTTGGTGTTGAAGGAGGCGATGGTGCCTGTTAAGAGCACGGTGATGATGATGGTGATGATGGTGATGATGGAGGTGCTGTACCTGGCTACCCAAGTGTTGGTGTTGGTGTTGAAGGAGGCGATGGTGATGCTGGTGATGATGATGATGCTGGTGATGATGATGATGGTGACGCTGTACCTGGCTACCCAAGTGTTGGTGTTGGTGTTGAAGGAGGCGATGGTGCCTGTGAAGAGCACGGTGATGATGATGGTGATGATGAAGGAGGTGATGATGGAGGTGCTGTACCTGGCTACCCAAGTGTTGGTGTTGGTGTTGAAGGAGGCGATGGTGCCTGTGAAGAGCACGGTGATGATGATGGTGATGATGGTGATGATGATGGAGGTGATGATGCAGGTGATGATGATGGAGGTGATGATGGAGGTGCTGTACCTGGCTACCCAAGTGTTGGTGTTGGTGTTGAAGGAGGCGATGGTGCCTGTGAAGAGCACGGTGATGATGATGGTGATGATGAAGGAGGTGATGATGGAGGTGCTGTACCTGGCTACCCAAGTGTTGGTGTTGGTGTTGAAGGAGGCGATGGTGCCTGTGAAGAGCACGGTGATGATGATGGTGATGATGGTGATGATGATGGAGGTGATGATGGAGGTGATGATGGAGGTGCTGTACCTGGCTACCCAAGTGTTGGTGTTGGTGTTGAAGGAGGCGATGGTGCCTGTGAAGAGCACAGTGATGATGCTGGTGATGATGCTGGTGATGATGAAGGAGGTGATGATGGAGGTGCTGTACCTGGCTACCCAAGTGTTGGTGTTGGTGTTGAAGGAGGCGATGGTGCCTGTGAAGAGCACGGTGATGATGCTGGTGATGGAGGTGCTGTACCTGGCTACCCAAGTGTTGGTGTTGGTGTTGAAGGAGGCGATGGTGCCTGTGAAGAGCACGGTGATGATGCTGGTGATGGAGGTGCTGTACCTGGCTACCCAAGTGTTGGTGTTGGTGTTGAAGGAGGCGATGGTGCCTGTGAAGAGCACAGTGATGATGCTGGTGATGATGCTGGTGATGATGATGGAGGTGATGATGGAGGTGCTGTACCTGGCTACCCAAGTGTTGGTGTTGGTGTTGAAGGAGGCGATGGTGCCTGTGAAGAGCACGGTGATGATGCTGGTGATGGAGGTGCTGTACCTGGCTACCCAAGTGTTGGTGTTGGTGTTGAAGGAGGCGATGGTGCCTGTGAAGAGCACGGTGATGATGCTGGTGATGATGGAGGTGCTGTACCTGGCTACCCAAGTGTTGGTGTTGGTGTTGAAGGAGGCGATGATGATGATGGTGATGATGGTGATGATGGAGGTGCTGTACCTGGCTACCCAAGTGTTGGTGTTGGTGTTGAAGGAGGCGATGGTGCCTGTGAAGAGCACGGTGATGATGCTGGTGATGATGATGATGATGATGGAGGTGCTGTACCTGGCTACCCAAGTGTTGGTGTTGGTGTTGAAGGAGGCGATGGTGCCTGTGAAGAGCACGGTGATGATGCTGGTGATGATGATGCTGGTGATGATGATGCTGGTGATGGAGGTGCTGTACCTGGCTACCCAAGTGTTGGTGTTGGTGTTGAAGGAGGCGATGGTGCCTGTGAAGAGCACAGTGATGATGATGGTGATGATGCTGGTGATGGAGGTGCTGTACCTGGCTACCCAAGTGTTGGTGTTGGTGTTGAAGGAGGCGATGGTGCCTGTGAAGAGCACGGTGATGATGATGGTGATGATGCAGGTGATGATGATGATGGAGGTGCTGTACCTGGCTACCCAAGTGTTGGTGTTGGTGTTGAAGGAGGCGATGGTGCCTGTGAAGAGCACGGTGATGATGATGGTGATGATGATGCTGGTGATGATGATGATGATGGAGGTGCTGTACCTGGCTACCCAAGTGTTGGTGTTGGTGTTGAAGGAGGCGATGGTGCCTGTGAAGAGCACGGTGATGATGCTGGTGATGATGATGATGCTGGTGATGATGATGATGATGGAGGTGCTGTACCTGGCTACCCAAGTGTTGGTGTTGGTGTTGAAGGAGGCGATGGTGCCTGTGAAGAGCACGGTGATGATGCTGGTGATGGAGGTGCTGTACCTGGCTACCCAAGTGTTGGTGTTGGTGTTGAAGGAGGCGATGGTGCCTGTGAAGAGCACGGTGAGCTCAAAGCGTGCCACGTGGATGTTGCAACAAGCGTCCCAGCGACATCGCCCGTCCGGGGAGCGGCCGGAGTAGGCCAGTCCACACAGGATGCAGACTCCCTCCTGATAGACACACACAGATAGACACACACATATAGACACACACTCAGACACACACACATAGACACACACACATAGACACACACACATAGACACACACACAGACACACACACATAGACACACACACATAGACACACACACACACACAGATAGACACACACACACATACACACACACACATAGACACACACACACACATAGACACACGCACATAGACACACACACACATAGACACACACACATAGACATACACACACACACATAGACACACACATAGATACATAAACACACACAAGTAGATAGACACACACTCAGACACACACACAGATACACACACACATAGACACATAGACACACAGTGAGTGGGTGGGTGAGTGAGTGGGTGGGTGAGTGTGTGAATGAGTGTGTCAGTGGGTGGGTGAGTGGATGAGTGGTGAGTAAGTGGTGAGTGCGTGGTGATAGAGTGGTGAGTGAGTGGTGAGTGAGTGGCTGAGTGAGTGGTGAGTGAGTGGCTGAGTGAGTTGGTGAGTGAGTGGGTGAGTGAGTGGGTGAGTGAGTAAGTCGTGAGTGAGTGGGTGAGTGAGTGAGTGAGTGGTGAGTGAGTGTGTGAGTGCGTGGGTGAGTGGATGAGTGGTGAGTGAGTGAGTGGGTGGTGAGTGAGTGGTGAGTGAGTGGTGAGTGAGTGAGTGGTGAGTGGGTGAGTGGGTGAGTGGGTGAGTGAATGAGTGGTGATTGAGTGGTGAGTGAGTGGTGAGTGAGTGAATGGTGAGTGAGTGAGTGGGTGAGTGAGTGAGTGGGTGAGTGAGTGAGTGACTGTGTGAGTGAGTGTGTGAGTAAGTGAGTGTCTGAGTGAGTGAGTGACTGAGTGACTGAGTGAGTGACTGTGTGACTGAGTGTCTGAGTGAGTGAGTGACTGAGTGTGTGACTGAGTGACTGTGTGATTGAGTGAGTGAGTGTCTGAGTGTCTGAGTGAGTGTCTGAGTGAGTGACTGAGTGCGAGAGTGTGTGAGTGAGGGAGTGAGTGACTGAGTGAGTGAGTGTGTGAGTGTCTGAGTGTCTGAGTGAGTGTCTGAGTGAGTGTGTGAGTGACTGAGTGAGTGTCTGAGTGAGTGACTGAGTGAGTGAGTGTGTGAGTGTGTGAGTGTGTGAGTGACTGAGTGAGTGTCTGAGTGAGTGACTGAGTGAGTGACTGAGTGAGTGTGTGAGTGACTGAGTGAGTGTCTGAGTGAGTGACTGAGTGTGTGAGTGACTGAGTGAGTGTCTGAGTGAGTGACTGAGTGAGTGACTGAGTGAGTGTGTGAGTGAGTGTGAGTGAGTGTGTGAGTGAGTGTGTGAGTGTGTGAGTGAGTGTGTGAGTGAGTGAGTGACTGAGTGAGTGTGTGAGTGTGTGTGTGAGTGAGTGACTGAGTGTGTGAGTGAGTGAGTGAGTGACTGAGTGAGTGAGTGTGTGAGTGAGTGAGTGACTGAGTGAGTGAGTGTGTGAGTGAGTGAGTCTGTGAGTGAGTGTGTGAGTGAGTGAGTGTGTGAGTGAGTGGGTGAGTGAGTGTGTGAGTGAGTGGGTGAGTGAGTGGGTGTGTGAGTGTGTGAGTGTGTGAGTGAGTGTGTGAGTGAGTGAGTGACTGAGTGAGTGAGTGTGTGAGTGTGGGAGTGAGTGTGTGAGTGAGTGTGTGAGTGAGTGTGTGAGTGAGTGTGTGAGTGAGTGAGTGAGTGAGTGTGTGAGTGAGTGTGTGACTGAGTGTGTGAGTGAGTGACTGAGTGAGTGAGTGACTGAGTGAGTGTGTGAGTGTGTGTGTGAGTGTGTGAGTGAGTGAGTGTGTGAGAGAGTGAGTGTGTGAGTGAGTGTGTGAGTGAGTGAGTGTGTGAGTGAGTGAGTGACTGAGTGAGTGAGTGTGTGAGTGAGTCAGTGACTGAGTGAGTGAGTGTGTGAGTGAGTGAGTCTGTGAGTGAGTGTGTGAGTGAGTGAGTGTGTGAGTGAGTGGGTGAGTGAGTGTGTGAGTGAGTGGGTGAGTGAGTGGGTGTGTGAGTGTGTGAGTGTGTGAGTGAGTGTGTGAGTGAGTGAGTGACTGAGTGAGTGAGTGTGTGAGTGTGTGAGTGAGTGTGTGAGTGAGTGTGTGAGTGAGTGACTGAGTGAGTGAGTGAGTGTGTGAGTGAGTGTGTGAGTGAGTGGGTGTGTGAGTGTGTGAGTGTGTGAGTGAGTGTGTGAGTGAGTGAGTGACTGAGTGAGTGAGTGTGTGAGTGTGTGAGTGTGTGTGTGAGTGAGTGTGTGAGTGAGTGAGTGAGTGTGTGAGTGAGTGTGTGAGTGAGTGGGTGTGTGAGTGTGTGAGTGAGTGAGTGAGTGTGTGAGTGAGTGAGTGTGTGAGTGAGTGTGTGAGTGAGTGAGTGAGTGTGTGAGTGAGTGTGTGAGTGAGTGGGTGTGTGAGTGAGTGAGTGTGTGAGTGAGTGGGTGTGTGAGTGTGTGAGTGTGTGAGTGAGTGTGTGAGTGAGTGACTGACTGAGTGAGTGAGTGTGTGAGTGTGTGAGTGTGTGTGTGAGTGAGTGTGTGAGTGAGTGAGTGAGTGAGTGGGTGAGTGAGTGTGTGAGTGAGTGAGTGAGTGACTGAGTGAGTGTGTGAGTGTGTGTGTGAGTGTGTGAGTGAGTGAGTGTGTGAGTGAGTGAGTGTGTGAGTGAGTGTGTGTGTGAGTGTGTGAGTGAGTGAGTGTGTGAGTGAGTGAGTGAGTGACTGAGTGAGTGAGTGTGTGAGTGAGTGAGTGTGTGAGTGAGTGAGTGTGTGAGTGAGTGTGTGAGTGAGTGAGTGAGTGTGTGAGTGAGTGTGTGAGTGAGTGGGTGTGTGAGTGAGTGAGTGTGTGAGTGAGTGGGTGTGTGAGTGTGTGAGTGTGTGAGTGAGTGTGTGAGTGAGTGAGTGACTGAGTGAGTGAGTGTGTGAGTGTGTGAGTGTGTGTGTGAGTGAGTGTGTGAGTGAGTGAGTGAGTGTGTGAGTGAGTGAGTGAGTGGGTGAGTGAGTGTGTGAGTGAGTGAGTGAGTGACTGAGTGAGTGTGTGAGTGTGTGTGTGAGTGTGTGAGTGAGTGAGTGTGTGAGTGAGTGAGTGTGTGAGTGAGTGTGTGTGTGAGTGTGTGAGTGAGTGAGTGTGTGAGTGAGTGAGTGACTGAGTGAGTGAGTGTGTGAGTGAGTGAGTGTGTGAGTGAGTGAGTGTGTGAGTGAGTGAGTGACTGAGTGAGTGAGTGTGAGTGTGTGTGTGAGGATCACCGCTAGGAGCCAACAGCACAGGTATTTGTAGAGAGCGATCTTCCCCCAGAAGGCAAGGTGAACACAGCGATACCACAGCGGCTGAGCCTGCACACACACAGACACACAGACACACACACACACAGACACACAGACACACACAGACACACACAGACACACACACAGACACACACACACACATAGACACACATAGACACACACAGACACACACAGAGACACAGACACACACACAGACACACACAGACACACAGTGACACACACACACACAGACACACCCACACACAGACACACACACAGTGACACACACACAGACACACAGTGACACACACACAGACACACAGACACACACACAGACACACACACACACACAGACACACACACAGACACACACACACATAGTGACACACACACAGACACACAGACACACACACAGACACACAGACACACACAGACACACACAGACACACACACAGACACACACACACACATAGACACACACAGACACACACAGAGACACAGACACACACACAGACACACACAGACACACAGTGACACACACACACACAGACACACCCACACACAGACACACACACAGTGACACACACACAGACACACAGTGACACACACACAGACACACAGACACACACACAGACACACACACACACAGACACACACAGACACACACACACACACAGTGACACACACACAGACACACAGACACACACACACAGACAGACACACACAGACACACACACACAGACACACACACAGACACGTACAGACACACACACACAGACACACACACACAGTGACACACACACACACACACAGACACACACACACAGACACACACACACAGACACACACACAGAGACACACACACACAGACACGTACAGAGTCACACAGACACGTACAGACACACACAGACACGTACAGAGACACAGACACACACAGAGACACACAGACACGTACAGACACAAAGACACACAGACACACACAGAGACACAGACACGTACAGACACAAAGACACACAGAGACGTACAGAGGCACAGACACGTACAGAGACACAGACACGTACAGAGACACACAGACACGTACAGAGACACACAGACACGTACAGACACACAGACACACAGATACACAGACACACAGATACACAGACACGTACAGACACACAGATACACAGACACGTACAGATACACACAGACACGTACAGATACACACAGACACACAGACACGTACAGACACACACAGACACGTACAGACACACAGACACGTACAGAAACGTACAGAGACACAGAGAGGTCAGTGGATGAGTGATGAGTGAGTGGTGAGTGGGTGAGTGAGTGGTGAGTGGGTGAGCGAGTGAGTGGGTGAGCGAGTGAGTGGGTGAGTGAGTGAGTGGGTGGGTGAGTGAGTGAATTGGGTGGGTGAGTGGGTGGGTGAGTGGGTGGGTGAGTGAGTGGGTGAGTTGGTGAGTGAATTGGGTGGGTGAGTGAATTGGGTGGGTGAGTGGGTGAGTGAATGGGTGAGCGAGTGAGTAAATGGGTGGGTGAGTGAGTCGGTGAGTGAATTGGGTGGGTGAGTGAATTGGGTGAGTGATTGGGTGAGTGAATTGGGTGGGTGAGTGGGTGAGTGAATGGGTGAGCGAGTGAGTGAATTGGGTGAGTGAGTGGGTGAGTGAATTGGGTGGGTGAGTGGGTGAGTGAATGGGTGAGCGAGTGAGTGGGTGAGTGAATTGGGTGGGTGAGTGGGTGAGAGAATGGGTGAGTGAGTGAGAGGGTGAGCGAGTGAGTGAATTGGGTGGGTGAGTGGGTGAGTGAATGGGTGAGCGAGTGAGTGAATGGGTTAGTGAATGGGCGAGTGAAAGGGGGGGTAATTGGGTGAGCGGGCGAGTGGGCGAGCGAGCGAACAGGTGAGTGAATGGGTGAGTGAGTGGGTGAGTGAGTGGGTCAGTGAGTGGGTGAGCGAGTGGGTGAGCGAGTGAGTGAGTGGGCGAGCGAGTGAGTGAATGGGTGAGCGGGTGAGTGAATGGGTGAGTGAGTGAATGGGTGAGTGGGTGAGCGAGTGAGTGGGTGAGTGCGTGAGTGAATGCTTGAGTGAGTGAGTGGGTGAGTGCATGAGTGAGCGAGTGAGTGGGTGAGTGCATGAGTGAGCGAGTGAATGGGCGAGTGGGTGGGTGAGTGAGTGAGTGAGTGGGTGGGTGAGTGGGTGAGTGAGTGGTGAGTGAGTGGGTGGGTGAGTGTGTGAGTGAGCGAGCGAGTGAATGGGCGAGGGAGTGGGTGAGTGACTTGGTGAGTGAGTGAGTGAATGGGTGAGTGGGTGAATGGGTGAATGGGTGAATGGGTGAGTGGGTGAGCGAGTGAGTGAGTGGGTGAGTGGGTGAGTGAGTGAATGGGTGAGTGAGTGACTGGGTGAGTGAGTGAGTGAGTGAATGGGTGATTGAGTGAATGAGTGATTGAGTGAATGGGCGAGTGGGTGAATGGGTGAGTGGGTGAGTGAGTGAGTGGGTGAATGAATGAGTGGGTGAGTGAGTGGGTGAGTGAGCGACGAGCGGGTGAGCGTGGGTGGTGAGCGTGGGTGGTGAGCGTAACAGTGCTCACCTGGTATTCTGCAGACAGGAGGTAGGAATCGGGGAAGTATGGCCCTCCAACAGCGAACACCAAGACATAGAAGAGTCCAAGAGCCATTCTCTCAAGAGCGGGACCCACACTGCACCACCACCACAACCATCATCACAACAACCACCACCACAACCATCATCACAACAACCACCACCACAACCATCATCACAACAACCACCACCACAACCATCATCACAACAACCACCACCACAACCATCATCACAACAACCACCACCATCATCACAACAACCACCACCACAACCATCATCACAACAACCACCACCACAACCATCATCACAACAACCACCACCACAACCATCATCACAACAACCACCACCACAACCATCATCACAACAACCACCACCATCATCACAACAACCACCACCACAACCATCATCACAACAACCACCACTACAACCATCATCACAACAACCACCACCACAACCATCATCACAAACAACCACCACCACAACCATCATCACAACAACCACCACCACCACAACCATCATCACAACAACCACCACCACCACAACCATCATCACAACAACCACCACCACAACCATCATCACAACAACCACCACCACAACCATCATCACAACAACCACCACCACAACCATCATCACAACAACCACCACCACCACAACCATCATCACAACAACCACCACCACAACCATCATCACAACAACCACCACCACAACCATCATCACAACAACCACCACCACAACCATCATCACAACAACCACCACTACAACCATCATCACAACAACCACCACCACAACCATCATCACCACCACAACCACCACCACAACCATCATCACAACAACCACCACCACAACCATCATCACAACAACCACCACCATCATCACAACAACCACCACCACAACCATCATCACAACAACCACCACCACAACCATCATCACAACAACCACCACCACAACCATCATCACAACAACCACCACCATCATCACAACAACCACCACCACAACCATCATCACAACAACCACCACCACAACCATCATCACAACAACCACCACCACAACCATCATCACAACAACCACCACCACAACCATCATCACAACAACCACCACCATCATCACAACAACCACCACCACAACCATCATCACAACAACCACCACTACAACCATCATCACAACAACCACCACCACAACCATCATCACAACAACCACCACCACAACCATCATCACAACAACCACCACCACCACAACCATCATCACAACAACCACCACCACCACAACCATCATCACAACAACCACCACCACAACCATCATCACAACAACCACCACCACAACCATCATCACAACAACCACCACCACAACCATCATCACAACAACCACCACCACCACAACCATCATCACAACAACCACCACCACAACCATCATCACAACAACCACCACCACAACCATCATCACAACAACCACCACCACAACCATCATCACAACAACCACCACTACAACCATCATCACAACAACCACCACCACAACCATCATCACCACCACAACCACCACCACAACCATCATCACAACAACCACCACCACAACCATCATCACAACAACCACCACCATCATCACAACAACCACCACCACAACCATCATCACAACAACCACCACCACAACCATCATCACAACAACCACCACCACAACCATCATCACAACAACCACCACCACAACCATCATCACAACAACCACCACCACAACCATCATCACAACAACCACCACCACCATGATCACCACCACAACCATCATCACAACAACCACCACCACAACCATCATCACAACAACCACCACTACAACCATAATCACAACAACCACCCCCACAACCATCATCACAACAACCACCACCACAACCATCATCACAACAACCACCACCACAACCATCATCACAACAACCACCACCACAACCATCATCACAACAACCACCACCACAACCATCATCACAACAACCACCACCACAACCATCATCACAACAACCACCACCACAACCATCATCACAACAACCACCACCACAACCATCATCACAACAACCACCACCACCATCATCACCACCACAACCACCACCACAACCATCATCACAACAACCACCACCACAACCATCATCACAACAACCACCACCACAACCACCATCACAACAACCACCACCACAACCATCATCACAACAACCACAACCATCATCACAACAACCACCACCACAACCATCATCACAACAACCACCACCACAACCATCATCACAACAACCACCACCACAACCATCATCACAACAACCACCACCACAACCACCATCACAACAACCACCACCACAACCATCATCACAACAACCACAACCATCATCACAACAACCACCACCACAACCATCATCACAACAACCACCACCACAACCATCATCACAACAACCACCACCACAACCATCATCACAACAACCACCACCACCATGATCACCACCACAACCATCATCACAACAACCACCACCACAACCATCATCACAACAACCACCACTACAACCATCATCACAACAACCACCCCCACAACCATCATCACAACAACCACCACCACAACCATCATCACAACAACCACCACCACAACCATCATCACAACAACCACCACCACAACCATCATCACAACAACCACCACCACAACCATCATCACAACAACCACCACCACAACCATGATCACCACCACAACCACCACCATCATCACCATCACCACCATCACCATCACCACCATCACCACCACCATCACCACCATCACCACCACCACAATCACCATCATCATCACCACCACCACCACCACCACCACAATCACCATCATCATCACCACCACCACCACAACCACAACCACCACCACAACCACCACCACAACCACCACCACAACCACCACCATCATCACCACCATCACCACAACAACCACAACCACAACCACCACAACCACCACAAGCACCACAACCACCACAACCATTATCACAACAACCACCATCATCATCACCACCACCACCACCACCACAACCACAACCACCACAACCACCACCATCACCACCAACATCATCACCACCATCACCACCACCATCACCACCATCACCACCATCACCACCATCATCAAAACAATCACCACCACAACCACCACCATCATCACCACCACAACCATCACCACTACGACCACAACTATAACCACTATAGCCACCACCATCACCACCATCACCACAACCACCACTACAACCACAACTATAACTACTATAGCCACCACCACTACTACCACAACTATAACTACTATAGCCACCACAACCACCTACCACAACCACCACAACCGCCACTACTACCACAACTATAACTACTATAGCCACCACCACAACCACCACTACTACCACAACTATAACTACTATAGCCACCACCACCACCACTACTACCACAACTATAACCACTATAGCCACCACCACCACCACTACTACCACAACTATAACTACTATAGCCACCACCACCACCACTACTACCACAACTATAACCACTATAGCCACCACCACCACCACTACTACCACAACTATAACTACTATAGCCACCACCACCACAACCACCACTACTACCACAACTATAACCACTATAAACACCACCACCACCTACCACAACCACCACAACCACCACTACTACCACAACTATAACCACTATAACCACCACCACCTACCACAACCACCACTACTACCACAACTATAACCACTATAGCCACCACCACCACAACCACCACTACTACCACAACTATAACTACTATAGCCACCACCACCACAACCACCACTACTACCACAACTATAACTACTATAGCCACCACCACCACAACCACCATTACTACCACAACTATAACCACTATAACCACCACCACCACAAATAGGTGAGTGAGTGAGTGGGTGGGTGAGTGGGTGAGTGAGTGAGTGGGTGGGTGGGTGAGTGAGTGGGTGAGTGGTGAGTGAGTGGGTGGGTGAGTGAATGAGTGGATGGATGGGGGGTGAGTGAGTGGGTGAGTGGATGGGTGAGTGAGTGAGTGGGTGAGTGAGTGAGTGAGTGGGTGAGGGAGTGAGTGGGTGAGTGAGTGATGAGTGAGTGAGTGAGTGGGTGAGTGGGTAAGTGAGTGGGTGAGTGAGTGGGTGAGTGAGTGGGTGAGTGGGTGGGTGGGTGAGTGAGTGGGTGAGTGGGTGAGTGAGTAGGTGAGTGAGTGAATGAGCGGGTGAGTGAGTGAGCGGGTGAGTGAGTGAGTGGGTGGGTGAGTGGGTGAATGAGTGAGTGAGTGGGTGAGTGAGTGAGTGAGTGGGTGAGTGAGTGAGTGAGTGGCTGAGTGAGTGGGTGAGTGGGTGGGTGGGTGAGTGAGTGGGTGAGTGAGTGGGTGAGTGAGTGAATGAGCGGGTGAGTGAGTGAGTGGGTGAGTGAGTGAGTGAGTGGCTGAGTGAATGAGTGAATGGCTGAGTGAGCGGCTGAGTGAGCGGGTGAGCGAGCTCACCTTTGTGGAGGCTGTCCCGGTGAGTCGGTGAGCTCTCCGTGACAGTGACGGAGGTACTGGCGGAGTGAGAATTGTGGTCCTACCAGGAGGCCTCCGTAGAAGAGGCCAAAGCCGGAAACTTCCAGCAGGGTGGGACAACGCTGCTGAGCATAGACGCCCTGCTCGGGGGAGAGACACTCCTGCAGGGAGAGTGGGGGGGGTGGGTGGGGGGTGAGTGGGTGGGTGGGTGGGTGAGTGAGTGGGTGGGTGAGTGGGTGGGTGGGTGAGTGGGTGGGTGGGTGAGTGGGTGGGTGGGTGAGTGAGTGGGTGAGTGAGTGGGTGAGTAAGTGGGTGAGTGGGTGGGTGGGTGAGTGGGTGAGTGAGTAGGTGAGTGGGTGGGTGAGTGGGTGAGTGAGTGGGTGAGTCAGTTTGGTGGGTGAGTGAGTGGGTGAGTGAGTGGGTGAGTCAGTGGGTGGGTGAGTGAGTGAGTGAGTGGGTGGGTGGGTGAGTGAGTGGGTGGGTGAGTGGGTGAGTGAGTGAGTGAGTGGTGAGTGAGTGGCGAGTGAGTGGGTGGGTGAGTGGGTGAGTGAGTGGGTGAGTGAGTGGTGAGTGAGTGGGTGGGTGAGTGAGTGGGTGAGTGGGTGAGTGAGTGAGTGAGTCAGTGGGTGGGTGAGTGAGTGAGTGGGTGGGTGAGTGGGTGAGTGAGTGGGTGGGTGAGTGGGTGAGTGGGTGAGTGGTGAGTGAGTGGGTGGGTGAGTGAGTGAGTGGTGAGTGAGTGGTGAGTGAGTGAGTGGGTGAGTGAGTGAGTGGGTGGGTGGGTGAGTGAGTGGGTGAGTGAGTGGGTGAGTGAGTGAGTGGGTGGGTGAGTGAGTGGGTGAGTGAGTGGGTGAGTCAGTGGGTGGGTGAGTGGGTGGGTGAGTGAGTGGGTGGGTGAGTGGGTGAGTGAGTGGGTGAGTGAGTGAGTGGGTGAGTGAGTGAGTGGTGAGTGAGTGGGTGAGTGAGTGGTGAGTGAGTGAGTGGTGAGTGAGTGGGTGAGTGAGTGAGTGGTGAGTGAGTGGGTGAGTGAGTGGGTGGGTCAGTGAGTGGGTGGGTGAGTGAGTGGGTGAGTGAGTGGTGAGTGAGTGAGTGGTGAGTGAGTGGTGAGTGAGTGAGTGGTGAGTGAGTGGTGAGTGAGTGAGTGGTGAGTGAGTGGTGAGTGGTGAGTGAGTGGTGAGTGAGTGAGTGGTGAGTGAGTGAGTGGTGAGTGAGTGAGTGGTGAGTGAGTGAGTGGTGAGTGAGTGGTGAGTGAGTGAGTGGTGAGTGAGTGGTGGGTGAGTGAGTGGGTGAGTGAGTGGGTGGGTGAGTGAGTGAGTGGGTGGGTGAGTGAGTGAGTGAGTGGGTGGGTGAGTGAGTGAGTGAGTGGGTGAGTGAGTGGTGAGTGAGTGAGTGGGTGAGTGAGTGGGTGAGTGAGTGAGTGGGTGAGTGAGTGAGTGAGTGGGTGAGTGAGTGGGTGAGTGAGTGGGTGAGTGAGTGGGTGGGTGAGTGAGTGGGTGAGTGGGTGGGTGAGTGAGTGGTGAGTGAGTGGTGAGTGAGTGGGTGGGTGAGTGGGTGAGTAAGTGGGTGAGTGGGTGGGTGGATGAGTGAGTAGGTGAGTGGGTGAGTGAGTAGGTGGGTGGGTGAGTGAGTGAGTGAGTGGGTGAGTGAGTGGGTGAGTGAGTGGGTGGGTGAGTGAGTGGGTGAGTGGGTGAGTGAGTGGGTGGGTGAGTGAGTGAGTGTGTGGGTGAGTAAGTGGGTGAGTGGGTGGGTGGGTGAGTGGGTGGGTGAGTGGATGAGTGAGTGAGTGGGTGAGTGAGTGGGTGAGTGGGTGGGTGAGTGAGTGGGTGGGTGAGTGGGTGGGTGGGTGAGTGAGTGAGTGGGTGGGTGAGTGAGTGAGTGGTGAGTGGTGAGTGAGTGGTGAGTGCTGTACCGGTTTTTTTTGGCCATCGTAAAAGTCAATCGCCGCTCCTGTTAGGAAACAGCAGCACTGTGTCACTCACTCACCACTCACTCACCACTCACTCACCCACTCACCCACTCACCCACCCACTCACCCACCCACCCATTCACCCACTCACCCACCCACCCACTCACCCACCCACTCACTCACTCACCCACCCACTCACCCACCCACTCACTCACCCACCCACTCACCCACCCACCCACTCACCCACCCACCCACTCACCCACCCACCCACCCACTCACTCACCCACTCACTCACCCACCCACTCACCCACCCACTCACTCACTCACTCACCCACTCACTCACTCACTCACCCACTCATCCACTCACCCACCCACCCACTCACCCACCCACCCACCCACTCACCCACCCACTCACCCACTCACTCACCCACCCACCCACCCACTCACCCACTCACTCACCCACCCACTCACTCACCCACCCACTCACCCACCCATTCACCCACTCACCCACCCACCCACCCACTCACTCACTCACCCACCCACTCACTCACCCACTCACCCACCCACTCACCCACTCACCCACCCACTCACGCACCCACCCACCCACCAATGAGCTTCAGGGTGAGTACACAGTGAGGCATTGTCCACTTGATGTCGTAGTTTTCAGTCGCTGAGTAGTAGTAGCCCAGGCAGAGGTAACCCTTCACATACACACAGACAAAGGTCCCCCGGGTAGCGTTCACAAGACTCTAGGGGCAAGTGCTGCCAGTAGCACCTATACACAAAGATCCCCCAGGTAGCCTCTAGCAGGCTGTAGGGGCAAGTGCTGTCAGTAGCACCTACACACAGACAAAGATCCCCCGTGTAGCCTCTAGCAGGCTGTAGAGGCAAGTGCTGTCAGTAGCACCTACACACAGACAAAGATCCCCCGTGTAGCCTCTAGCAGGCTGTAGGGGCAAGTGCTGTCAGTAGCACCTACACACAGGCAAAGATCCCCCGTGTAGCCTCTAGCAGGCTGTAGGGGCAAGTGCTGTCAGTAGCACCTACACACAGACAAAGATCCCCCGTGTAGCCTCTAGCAGGCTGTAGGGGCAAGTGCTGTCAGTAGCACCTACACACAGACAAAGATCCCCCGTGTAGCCTCTAGCAGGCTGTAGGGGCAAGTGCTGTCAGTAGCGAGTAGCAGCGCCTATGAAGGCTACCGGCACTGTGGCACACACAGAGGGGGTGGCTACCAGCACCACGCCCGGCCGCCTTTGTCTCTCCAGTGCTGGCGATGTTCACTACACCACCACCGCTCCACCACCGCTCCACCACCGCTCCACCACCGCTCCACCACCACTCCACCACCACCACTACACCACCACCACTACACCACCACCACCACCGCTACACCACCACTACACCACCACCACTACACCACCACCACTACACCACCACCACCACCATTACACCAGCTACTCAGTTGAGGCTGCGTGGATCGGTGAGTGAGTGGGTGAGTGGGTGGGTGGGTGAGTGAGTGAGTGGGTGAGTGAGTGGGTGAGTGAGTGAGTGGGTGGGTGGGTGAGTGGGTGAGTGAGTGAGTGAGTGGGTGGGTGAGTGAGTGGGTGGGTGAGTTTGTGAGTGGGTGAGTGGGTGGGTGAGTGGGTGAGTGGGTGGGTGGGTGAGTGAGTGGGTGGGTGGGTGGGTGAGTGGGTGGGTGGGTGGTTGAGTTGGTGAGTGAATGAGTGGGTGAGTGAATGAGTGGGTGAGTGAGTGGGTGAATGAGTGGGTAGGTGGATGAGCGTGTGGGTGGGTGAGTGGGTGGGTGGGTGAGTTGGTGGGTGGGTGGGTGAGTGGGTGGGTGGGTGAGTGGGTGAGTGAATGAGTGGGTGAGTGAGTGGGTGAATGAGTGGGTGGGTGAGCGTGTGGGTGGGTGTGCAGCTGATTGAGCGAGTGAGTGAGTGAGCGGCTGAGTGAGTGAGCGGCTGAGTGAGTGGCTGAGCGTCTGAGTGAGCGAGTGGGTGAGCGAGCGTCTGAGTGAGTGAGTGGCTGAGTGAGTGAGTGGCTGAGTGAGTGGCTGAGTGAGTGGCTGAGTGAGTGGCTGAGTGAGTGAGTGGCTGGGTGAGTGGCTGTGCGTCTGAGTGAGTGAGTGAGCGTCTGAGTGAGCGAGCGTCTGAGTGAGTGGCTGAGCGTCTGAGTGAGCGAGTGAGCGGGCGTCTAAGAGAGCGGGTGAGTGAGTGAGTGGCTGAGTGAGCGTCTGAGTGAGTGAGTGAGCGGGTGAGTGAGTGAGTGAGTGGCTGAGTGAGCGTCTGAGTGAGTGAGTGAGCGGGTGAGTGAGTGAGTGAGTGAGTGGCTGAGTGAGCGTCTGAGTGAGTGAGCGTCTGAGTGAGTGAGTGGTTGAGTGAGTGAGTGAGTGGCTGAGTGAGTGAGCGTCTGAGTGAGTGAGTGAGCGTCTGAGCGAGTGGGCGAGTGGCTGAGTGAGTGAGTGGTTGAGTGAGCGTCTGAGTGAGTGAGTGGCTGAGCGTCTGAGTGAGCGTCTGAGTGAGCGTCTGAGTGAGCGTCTGAGTGAGTGAGTGAGCGTCTGAGTGAGCGAGTGAGCGGCTGAGTGAGTGTCTGAGTGAGCGTCTGAGTGAGCGTCTGAGTGAGTGAGCGTCTGAGTGAGCGTCTGAGTGAGTGAGTGAGCGTCTGAGTGAGCGTCTGAGTGAGCGAGTGAGCGGGAGGCTGAGCCCGCGTGCGTAGCGACGTACCATCTGGAAGATGAAGGAGACTGCGACACAACCGGCTGTCCCACCGAGCACCACCAGCAGCACATACTGCACCAGCATGCAGGCCAGCAAGTGGCCCGAGTCCAGGCCTACAAAGGCAAAGGTACCCCACGTAGCTCACGCAGGGCTGGAAGGGGCAAGAGCTGTTAGTCAGTCGCTAGCAGCAACAGCAGCAGCAACAGTAGTAGTAGTAGTAGCTGTAGTAGTAGCTGTAGCAGTAATAGTAGTAGTAGCTGTAGCAGTAACAGTAGTAGTAGCTGTAGCAGTAGTAGTAGCTGTAGTAGTAACAATAGTAGTAGTAGCTGTAGTAGTAGCAGTAGTAGTAGCTGTAGGAGTAGTAGCTGTAGTAGTAGCTGTAGTAGTAGCAGCAGTAGTAGCTGTAGTAGTAGTAGTAGCTGTAGGAGTAGTAGTAGTAGCTGTAGTAGTAGTAGCTGTAGCAGCAACAGCAGCAGCAACAGCAGTAGTAGTAGTAGCTGTAGCAGTAACAGTAGTAGCAGTAACAGTAGTAATAGTAGCTGTAGCAGTAACAGTAGTAGTAGCTGTAGCAGTAGTAGTAGCTGTAGCAGTAGTAGTAGTAGCTGTAGCAGTAGTAGCTGTAGCAGTAGTAGTAGTAGCTGTAGCAGTAGTGGCTGTAGCAGTAGTAGTAGTAGCTGTAGCAGTAGTAGTAGTAGCTGTAGTAGTAGATGTAGCAGTAGTAGTAGCTGTAGCAGTAATAGTAGTAGTAGCTGTAGCAGTAACAGTAGTAGTAGCTGTAGCAGTAACAGTAGTAGTAGTAGCTGTAGCAGTAACAGTAGTAGTAGTAGCAGTAGTAGTAGCTGTAGTAGTAGTAGCAGTAGTAGTAGCTGTAGTAGTAGCAGTAGTAGTAGCTGTAGCAGTAGTGGCTGTAGCAGTAGTAGTAGTAGCTGTAGCAGTAACAGTAGTAGTAGCTGTAGTAGTAGCTGTAGCAGTAGTAGTAGCTGTAGCAGTAATAGTAGTAGTAGCTGTAGCAGTAACAGTAGTAGTAGTAGCTGTAGCAGTAATAGTAGTAGCAGTAGTAGCTGTAGTAGTAGCAGTAGTAGTAGCTGTAGTAGTAGTAGTAGCTGTAGCAGTAATAGTAGTAGTAGCTGTAGCAGTAACAGTAGTAGTAGTAGTAGCTGTAGCAGTAAAAGTAGTAGCAGTAGTAGCTGTAGCAGTAATAGTAGTAGTAGCTGTAGCAGTAGTAGTAGTAGTAGCAGCTGTAGCAGTAACAGTAGTAGTAGCTGTAGCAGTAGTAGTAGCAGTAGTAGCAGTAATAGTAGCTGTAGCAGTAACAGCAGTAGCAGTAGTAGTAGCTGTAGTAGCTGTAGCAGTAACAGCAGTAGTAGTAGCAGCAGTAGTAGTAGCAGTAACAGTAGTAGTAGCTGTAGCAGTAACAGCAGTAGTAGTAGCAGTAGTAGTAGCTGTAGCAGTAATAGTAGTAGTAGCTGTAGCAGCAGCAGTAGTAGCAGTAGCTGTAGCAGTAGTAGTAGTAGTAGCTGTAGCAGTAGTAGTAGTGGCTGTAGCAGTAACAGTAGTAGTAGCTGTAGTAGTAGCAGTAGTAGTAGCTGTAGCAGTAGTAGTAGCTGTAGCAGTAATAGTAGCTGTAGCAGTAACAGTAGTAGTAGTAGCTGTAGCAGTAGTAGTAGTAGCAGTAGTAGCTGTAGTAGTAGCTGTAGCAGTAGTAGCTGTAGCAGCAATAGTAGTAGTAGTAGCTGTAGTAGTAACAGTAGTAGTAGTAGCTGTAGCAGTAACAGTAGTAGTAGCAGTAGTAGCAGCGGTAGTAGTAGTAGCTGTAGTAATAGTAGTAGCTGTAGCAGCAACAGTAGTAGTAGTAGCTGTAGCAGTAACAGTAGTAGTAGTAGCAGTAGTAGTAGCTGTAGTAGTAGTAGCTGTAGTAGTAGCTGTAGTAATAGTAGTAGCTGTAGCAGTAATAGTAGTAGTAGCTGTAGCAGTAACAGTAGTAGTAGTAGCTGTAGTAGTAGCAGTAGTAGTAGCTGTAGTAGTAGTAGTAGCTGTAACAGTAGTAGTAGTAGCTGTAGCAGCAACAGTAGTAGTAGCTGTAGCAGTAACAGTAGTAGTAGTAGCTGTAGCAGTAACAGTAGTAGTAGTAGCTGAAGCAGCAACAGTAGTAGTAGCTGTAACAGTAGTAGGAGTAGCTGTAGCAGTAGTAGCAGAAGTAGTAGCTGTAGCAGTAACAGTAGTAGTAGTAGCTGTAGCAGTAACAGTAGTAGTAGCAGTAGTAGTAGCTGTAGCAGTAACAGTAGTAGTAGTAGCAGTAGCTGTAGCAGTAGTAGTAGTAGCTGTAGCAGCAGCAGTAGTAGCTGCAGCAGCAACAGCAGTAGTAGTAGTAGCTGTAGCAGCAACAGCAGCAGCAACAGTAGTAGTAGTAGCTGTAGCAGTAACAGTAGTAGCAGTAACAGTAGTAATAATAGCTGTAGCAGTAGTAACAGTAGTAGTAGCTGTAGCAGTAGTAGCAGTAGTAGTAGCTGTAGCAGTAGTAGCAGTAGCTGTAGCAGTAGTGGCTGTAGCAGTAGTAGTAGTAGCTGTAGCAGTAGTAGTAGTAGTAGCTGTAGCAGTAGTAGTAGTAGCTGTAGCAGTAACAGTAGTAGTAGTAGCTGTAGTAGTAGCTGTAGCAGTAGTAGTAGCTGTAGCAGTAATAGTAGCTGTAGCAGTAACAGTAGTAGTAGTAGTAGCTGTAGCAGTAATAGTAGTAGCAGTAGTAGCTGTAGTAGTAGCAGTAGTAGTAGCTGTAGTAGTAGTAGCTGTAGCAGTAATAGTAGTAGTAGCTGTAGCAGTAACAGTAGCAGTAGTAGCTGTAGCAGTAATAGTAGCAGTAGTAGTAGTAGCAGCTGTAGCAGTAACAGTAGTAGTAGCTGTAGCAGTAGTAGGAGTAGCAGTAGTAGCTGTAGCAGTAACAGTAGTAGAAGTAGCTGTAGCAGTAATAGTAGTAGCAGTAGTAGCTGTAGTAGTAGCAGTAGTAGTAGCAGTAGTAGTAGCTGTAGTAGTAGTAGCTGTAGCAGTAATAGTAGTAGTAGCTGTAGCAGTAACAGTAGTAGTAGTAGCTGTAGCAGTAGTAGCAGTAGTAGTAGCTGTAGCAGTAATAGTAGTAGCAGTAGTAGCTGTAGCAGTAATAGTAGTAGCGGTAGTAGTAGCAGCTGTAGCAGTAATAGTAGTAGTAGTAGCTGTAGCAGTAACAGTAGTAGTAGTGGTAGTAGTAGTAGCTGTAGCAGCAACAGTAGTAGTAGTAGCTGTAGCAGTAGTAGTAGCTGTAGCAGTAACAGTAGTAGTAGTAGCTGTAGCAGTAACAGTAGTAGTAGTAGCTGTAGTAGTAGCAGTAGTAGTAGCTGTAGTAGTAGTAGTAGCCGTAGCAGTAATAGTAGTAGTAGCTGTAGCAGTAACAGTAGTAGTAGCTGTAGCAGTAGTGGCTGTAGCAGTAGTAGTAGCTGTAGCAGTAGTAGTAGTAGCTGTAGTAGTAGCTGTAGCAGTAACAGTAGTAACTGTAGCAGCAACAGTAGTAGCTGTAGCAGCAACAGTAGTAGTAGCTGTAGCAGTAACAGTAGTAGTAGCTGTAGCAGTAACAGTAGCAGTAGTAGCTGTAGCAGTAACAGTAGTAGTAGCAGCAGCAGTAGTAGTAGTAGCTGTAGCAGTAACAGTAGTAGTAGTATCAGCAGTAGTAGTAGCAGCAGTAGTAGTAGCAGCAGTAGCAGCAGCAGTAGTAGTAGTAGCAGCAGTAGCAGCAGCAGTAGTAGTAGTAGCAGCAGTAGCAGCAGCAGTAGTAGTAGTAGCAGCAGTAGCAGCAGCAGTAGTAGTAGCAGCAGTAGTAGTAGCAGCAGTAGTAGTAGCAGCAGTAGTAGCAGTAACAGTAGTAGTAGTAGCAGCAGTAGTGGTCGTGGTGGTGGTTGTGGTTGTGGTGTTGGTTGTGGTGGTTGTGGTGGTGGTTGTTGTGGTGGTTGTGGTGGTGGTGCTGGTGGTGCTGGTTGTGGTGGTGGTGGTAGTTGTGGTGGTGGTTGTGGTGGTGGTAGTTGTGGTGGTGGTTGTGGTGGTGGTTGTGGTGCCTCAAATATTGGAAGAAGTCACCCCCTGTGAGTGGCTGGCTGAGGTGCCATCTGTTGAGGAAGTACTGAAGGCAATCCGGAGTCTGAGACCGGGAAAGGCAGCGGGCAGAGATGATCTCCCAAGCGAAATGTTGAGAGAGGGTGGCGTTTGTGCACAGACTGCCCTATATGACATCATAACAACGGTCTGGACCACTGGACAAGTTCCGCAGGATTGGAAGGATGCCCTGGTGGTCCCCCTCTTTAAGAAGGGGGACCGCACAGACTGTAACAACTACAGGGGCATCTCACTCCTCAGTGTGACGGGAAAGGGCCTGGCAAGGATTATTCAGCATCGCCTTGCCAGGCACGCTGAGGAGAGGCTTGCGGAGCCCCAATGCGGTTTCAGGAAAGGGCGGTCCTGCACAGATGCCATATTTTCTGTCCGTCTGCTACAGCAGAGGTGTAGGGAATTCCAACAAGACCTACATCTCTGCTTTATTGACCTGGTCAAGGCCTATGATACCATCAGTAGGCCTGGGCTCTGGGTCGTTCTTCGTGCTTTTGGAGTACCTGACCCTCTGCTCACGATCATTAAGGACCTTCATGATGGTGAGCGGGCCCGGGTAAAACTACGTGGCCAGGAGTCAGAGCCATTCCCTGTACACCTTGGGGTGCGACAGGGATGTCCTCTGGCTCCCACATTATTTAACATCTATTTTGACCACGTAGTTCGTGAAGCCTTCAATAGCTGTAGCGGGGGAATCTCCATATGGTACAGATATAATGGGAGGCTGATCGATGCCCGGGTGCGGTCAAGGGATGGTTGTGGTGGTGGTGGTTGTGGTGGTGGTTGTGGTGGTGGAGTTGGAGACGCTGCTGCTGAGACTGGAGCGTGCCACTAAGAGGTGGGGCCTTACCATCAGCCCCACCAAAACTTAGCACCTGCCTGGGTATTTTGTACCATCGGCCACTCCACCCCCACAACTCCCAATCGGTGATGGGGCAGTTGTGGAGAGAGTGGAGAGTTTCCCATACCTGGGCAGTGTGCTTATGACCGGTTCCAGTTTAACAGCAGAGGTCTCACTCCAAATCAGTCGAGCGGCAATATCTTTTCATCGGTTGTGTAACGCTGTGTGGAAGCTATCTGGTCTGTCGCTCCACACTAAGCTTCAGGTCTTCTCGGCCACGGTCGTTCCCTCCCTTCTCTACGCTTGCGAAACGTGGACCCCCCTAATGGAACATCTTCGCCGGTTAGAAACATTTAGGCTGGCCTGCCTACGATCCATCCTGGGTTTAACCAGACTGGATTGTGTGAGGAGCTCACAAATCATTGAAAGATCTGGGCAAGGTCCCATCGGTGAGCTCCTCCGGCAGGCAAGGCTGCGTTGGCTGGGTCATGTAGCCCGCATGCCCAGCTACCGCATGCCGAAACAGCTTTTGTTCGGCTGGATCGAGGGGGCTAAGCGGGCGCGGCACGGGCTAGAGAAGAGATGGAGTGATGTGGTACAGGAGGACGTGGAGCTGAGTGGACTTACCGATGACTGGTACCAGCGGTGTCAAGATCGGCCTCTGTGGAGGAGGCTCGTGAAGGATGCTACTGGGCAGTTGGAGGCAGTCGCCCTCCAACAACAACGGAGGGCGGAGGAGCGACGCTCACAACAACGAGCGGAGCGCCGGGTGGCTAAAGCACAGCAGGTTGGCACAGTAGGGGGCACAGGTGGTGCACCAGCCAGTCATCTCAGTCAGTCGACCCGTGGCACCTGGGTCTGCCCCGTGACCTCCTGCCAGCGGGCGTTCGACACTTCACGTGGCCTCAGGGTGCACATAGCCTGGCACAAGCGTCGTGGTGACGTCACCGCCACTTAGTGGCGAATGGCGGTTGTTGTTGTTGGTGGCTGTGGTTGTTGTGATGATGGTTGTGGTGGTGGTTGTGGTGGTTGTGGTGGTGGTTGTGGTGGTTGCTGTGATGATGGTTGCGGTGGTAGTTGTGGTGGTTGTGGTGGTGGTGGTTGTTGTTGTTGTTGTGGTGGTGGTTGTGGTGGTGGTAGTGGTGGTGGTTGTGGTGGTTGTTGTGATAGTGGTGGTTGTTGTTGTTGTGGTGGTTGTGGTGGTTGTGTTGGTGGTGATTGTGGTGGTGGTGGTTGTGGTGGTTGTTGTTGTTGTGGCGGTGGTTGTGGTGGTGGTTGTGGTGGTGGTAGTTGTGGTGGTAGTGGTGGTTGTGGTGGTTGTTTTTGTGATGTTGTGGTTGTTGTTGTTGTGATAGTGTTGGTTGTGGTGGTTGTTGTGATGGTGGTTGTGGTGGTTGTTTTTGTGATGTTGTGGTTGTTGTTGTGATGGTGGTTGTGGTGGTTGTTGTGATGGTGGTTGTGGTGGTTGTTGTTGTGATGGTTGTTGTTGTTGTGGTGGTTGTGGTGGTGGTTGTGGTGGTTGTTGTGGTTGTTGTGGTGGTTGTGGTGGTTGTGGTGGTGGTTGTGGTGGTGGTTGTGGTGGTGGTTGTGGTGGTTGTGGTGGTGGTTGTGGTGGTGGTTGTGGTGGTGGTGGTTGTGGTGGTGGTTGTGGTGGTGGAGTTGGAGACGCTGCTGCTGAGACTGGAGCGTGCCACTAAGAGGTGGGGCCTTACCATCAGCCCCACCAAAACTAAGCACCTGCCTGGGTATTTTGTACCATCGGACACTCCACCCCCACAACTCCCAATCGGTGATGGGGCAGTTGTGGAGAGAGTGGAGAGTTTCCCATACCTGGGCAGTGTGCTTATGACCGGCTCCAATTTAACAGCAGAGGTCTCACTCCGAATCAGTCGAGCGGAAATATATTTTCATCGGTTGCGTAACGCTGTGTGGAAGCTACCTGGTCTGTCGCTCCGCACTAAGCTTCAGGTCTTCTCGGCCACGGTCATTCCCTCCCTTCTCTACGCTTGCGAAACGTGGACCCCCCTAATGGAACATCTTCGCCGGTTAGAAACATTTAGGCTGGCCTGCCTACGATCCATCCTGGGTTTAACCAGACTGGATTGTGTGAGGAGCTCACAAATCCTTGAAAGATCTGGGCAGGGTCCCATCGGTGAGCTCCTCCGGCAGGCAAGGCTGCGATGGCTGGGTCATGTAGCCCGCATGCCCAGCCACCGCATGCCGAAACAGCTTTTGTTTGGCCGGATTGAGGGGGCTAAGCGGGCGCGGCACGGGCTAGAGAAGAGATGGAGTGATGTGGTACAGGAGGACGTGGAGCTGAGTGGACTTGCCGATGACTGGTACCAGCGGTGTCAAGATCGGCCTCTGTGGAGGAGGCTCGTGAAGGATGCTACTGGGCAGTTGGAGGCAGTCGCCCTCCAACAACAACGCAGGGCGGAGGAGCGACGCTCACAACAGCGAGCGGAGCGCCGGGTGGCTAAAGCACAGCAGGTTGGCACAGTAGGGGGCACAGGTGGTGCATCAGCCAGTCATCTCAGTCAGTCGACCCGTGGCACCTGCTGGGTCTGCCCCGTGACCTCCTGCCAGCGGGCGTTCGACACTTCACGTGGCCTCAGGGTGCACATAGCCTGGCACAAGCGTCGTGGTGACGTCACCGCCACTTAGTGGCGAATGGCGGTTGTTGTTGTTGTTGTTGGTGGTGGTTGTGGTGGTGGTTGTGGTGGTGGTTGTGGTGGTTGTGGTGGTGGTGGTGGTGGTTGTGGTTGTGGTTGTTATGGTTGTGGTTCTCACCAAAGTTCCAGGCAGCGATGAGCAGTCCACTGAGGCAGTGGGCACAGCAAATGAGAGGGGGAGAGGCGCCGCTCAGCCATCGCCGCTCAGCCAGCGCTAGCGGGTACCCTGCACCACAACCACCACCACCACAACAACAACAACCACAACAACCACCACAACCACCATCACCATCACAACAATCACCACCACCATCACAAACACCATCACAACAATCACCACAACCACCACCACAACACACACAACCACAACAACCATCACAACAACCACAACAATCACAACAACCACAACCACCATCACAACAACCACAACCACCATCACAACAACCACAACCATCACAACAACCACCACCATCACAACAACCACCACCACCATCACAACAACCACAACCACCACCACAACCACCACCATCACAACAACCACCACCAGCATCACAACAACCACAACCACCAGAACCATCATCACAACCACAACCACCACCATCACAACCATCATCACAACCACAACCACCACCATCACAACCATCATCACAACCACCACCACCACAACCATCACCACGACCACAAACACCACCACAACTACCACAACCGTCATCACAACAACCGCCACCACAACAACCACCACCACCACAACCACCATCACAACCACCACCTCAGCTACAACCACCACAACCCACAGAACTGCAGACTAATCGTAATAATGAAATTCTTTTACAGAAACTAACGAAGCCTCACAAAACGACCCATGCACTCACACAGAGACCCATGTGGCGAGTCTGTGGGTCTCTGTATGGTGAGTCTGTGGGTCTCTGTGTGGTGGTGAGTCTGTGGGTCTCTGTGTGGTGAGTCTGTGGGTCTCTGTGTGGTGAGTCTGTGGGTCTCTGTGTGGTGAGTCTGTGTGTCTCTGTGTGGTGAGTCTGTGTGGGTCTCTGTGTGGTGAGTCTGTGGGTCTCTGTGTGGTGAGTCTGTGGGTCTCTGTGTGGTGAGTCCGTGGGTCCCTGTGTGGTGAGTCTGTGGGTCTCTGTGTGGTGAGTCTGTGGGTCTCTGTGTGGTGAGTCTGTGGGTCTCTGTGGTGAGTCTGTGGGTCTCTGTGTGGTGAGTCTGTGGGTCTCTGTGTGGTGAGTCTGTGGGTCTCTGTGTGGTGAGTCTGTGGGTCTCTGTGGTGAATCTGTGGGTCTCTGTGTGGTAAGTCAATGGGTCTCTGTGTGGTGAGTCTGTGGGTCTCTGTGTGGTGAGTCTGTGGGTCTCTGTGTGGTGAGTCTGTAGGTCTCTGTGTGGTGAGTCTGTGGGTCTCTGTGTGGTGAGTCTGTGTGTCTCTGTGTGGTGAGTCTGTGGGTCTCTGTGTGGTGAGTCTGTGGGTCTCTGTGTGGTGAGTCTGTGGGTCTCTGTGTGGTGAGTCTGTGGGTCTCTGTGTGGTGAGTCTGTGTGTCTCTGTGTGGTGAGTCTGTGTGGGTCTCTGTGTGGTGAGTCTGTGGGTCTCTGTGTGGTGAGTCTGTGGGTCTCTGTGTGGTGAGTCCGTGGGTCTCTGTGTGGTGAGTCTATGGGTCTCTGTGTGGTGAGTCTGTGGGTCTCTGTGTGGTGAGTCTGTGGGTCTCTGTGTGGTGAGTCTGTGGGTCTCTGTGTGGTGAGTCTGTGTGTCTCTGTGTGGTGAGTCTGTGTGGGTCTCTGTGTGGTGAGTCTGTGGGTCTCTGTGTGGTGAGTCTGTGGGTCTCTGTGTGGTGAGTCCGTGGGTCCCTGTGTGGTGAGTCTATGGGTCTCTGTGTGGTGAGTCTGTGGGTCTCTGTGTGGTGAGTCTGTGGGTCTCTGTGTGGTGAGTCTGTGGGTCTCTGTGTGGTGAGTCTGTGGGTCTCTGTGTGGTGAGTCTGTGGGTCTCTGTGTGGTGAGTCTGTGGGTATCTGTGTGGTGAGTCTGTGGGTCTCTGTGTGGTAAGTCAATGTGTCTCTGTGTGGTGAGTCTGTGAGTCTGGTGTGAGTCTGGTTTAAACCAGTTTTAAGGTTCTGTTAATATAACGATTAATCAAACTCAGATAAAACTGGCCTTGACTGGATCAGTGGGAGAGAGAGTGGGTGGGTGAGTGAGTGGGTGAGTGAGTGCGTGGGTGGATGGGTGGATGAGTGGATGGGTGGGTGAGTGGGTGGGTGAGTGGGTGGGTGAGTGGGTGGGTGAGTGGATGAGTGGGTGAGTGGGTGAGTGGGTGAGTGGATGAGTGGGTGGGTGGGTGAGTGGATGAGTGGGTGGGTGAGTGGGTGGGTAGGTGAGTGGGTGAGTGGGTGGGTGGGTGAGTGAGTGGGTGGGTGAGTGAATGGGTGGGTGAGTGAATGGGTGGGTGAGTGAGTGGGTGGGTCGGTGAGTGAGTGGGTGGGTGAGTGAGTGAATGGGCGAGTGAGTGGGTGAGTGGGTGGGTGAGTGAGTGGGTGGGTGAGTGGGTGAGTGAGTGGGTGAGTGAGTGGGTGAGTGAGTGGATGGGTGAGTGGGTGAGTGAGTGGGTGAGTGGGTGGGTGAGTGGGTGAGTGTGTGTGTGTGGTGAGTGGGTGAGTGAGTGGGTGACTGGGTGAGTGGGTGAGTGGGTGGGTGAGTGGGTGAGTGCGTGAGTGAGTGGGTGAGTGAGTGAGTGGGTGAGTGAGTGGGTGAGTGAGTGAGTGGGTGAGTGGGTAAGTGTGTGGGTGAGTGAGTGAGTGAGCGAGTGGGTGAGTGAGTGAGCGAGTGAGCGAGTGTGTGTGTGAGTGGGTGAGTGTGTGAGTGGGTGAGTGAGTGGGTGAGTGAGTGGGTGAGTGAGTGGGTGAATGAGTGGGTGAGTGGGTGAGTGAGTGAGTGGGTGTGTGAGTGGGTGGGTGAGTGAGTGGGTGAGTGAGTGAGTGTGTGGGTGAGTGAGTGTGTGAGTGAGTGTGTGAGTGGGTGAGTGGGTGGGTGAGTGAGTGGGCGAGTGAGTGGGTGAGTGTGTGTGTGAGTGGGTGAGTGTGTGAGTGAGTGTGTGAGTGAGTGTGTGGGTGAGTGTGTGGGTGAGTGTGTGAGTGAGTGTGTGGGTGAGTGAGTGAGTGAGTGGGTGAGTGAGTGAGTGAGTGGGTGAGTGAGTGGGTGAGTGTGTGTGAGTGAGTGGGTGAGTGGGTGAGTGAGTGAGTGGGTGAGTGAGTGGGTGAGTGAGTGAGTGGGTGAGTGGGTGGGTGAGTGGGTGAGTGAGTGAGTGTGTGTGTGGGTGAGTGAGTGGGTGAGTGAGTGTGTGAGTGAGTGGGTGAGTGAGTGAGTGGGTGAGTGTGTGAGTGTGTGGGTGAGTGAGTGAGTGTGTGTGGGTGAGTGAGTGGGTGAGTGAGTGTGTGAGTGAGTGAGTGTGTGAGTGAGTGAGTGGGTGAGTGAGTGGGTGAGTGGGTGAGTGAGTGAGTGAGTGGGTGAGTGAGTGGGTGAGTGAGTGGGTGAGTGAGTGGGTGAGTGAGTGAGTGGGTGGGTGAGTGAGTGAGTGAGTGGGTGAGTGAGTGAGTGGGTGGGTGAGTGAGTGAGTGAGTGGGTGAGTGAGTGAGTGGGTGAGTGAGTGGGTGAGTGTGTGAGTGTGTGAGTGAGTGAGTGAGTGGGTGAGTGGGTGTGTGTGTGAGTGAGTGAGTGGGTGAGTGAGTGGGTGAGTGGGTGTGTGAGTGAGTGTGAGTGAGTGGGTGAGTGAGTGAGTGTGTGAGTGGGTGAGTGAGTGAGTGGGTGAGTGGGTGAGTGAGTGAGTGAGTGGGTGAGTGGGTGAGTGAGTGAGTGGGTGAGTGAGTGGGTGAGTGAGTGAGTGTATGGGTGAGTGAGTGAGTGAGTGGGTGAGTGAGTGAGTGAGTGGGTGAGTGGGTGAGTGAGTGAGTGAGTGGGTGAGTGAGTGAGTGAGTGGGTGAGTGAGTGGGTGAGTGAGTGAGTGTGTGAGTGAGTGGGTGGGTGAGTGAGTGAGTGGCTGAGTGGGTGAGTGAGTGGGTGAGTGAGTGAGTGGGTGAGTGAGTGAGTGTGTGAGTGGGTGAGTGAGTGAGTGGGTGAGTGGGTGAGTGAGTGAGTGAGTGTGTGTGTGAGTGGGTGAGTGTGTGAGTGAGTGTGTGGGTGGGTGAGTGAGTGAGTGGGTGAGTGGGTGAGTGAGTGAGTGGGTGAGTGAGTGTGTGAGTGAGTGTGTGGGTGAGTGTGTGGGTGAGTGTGTGAGTGAGTGTGTGGGTGAGTGAGTGAGTGAGTGGGTGAGTGAGTGAGTGAGTGGGTGAGTGAGTGGGTGAGTGTGTGTGAGTGAGTGGGTGAGTGGGTGAGTGAGTGAGTGGGTGAGTGAGTGGGTGAGTGAGTGAGTGGGTGAGTGGGTGGGTGAGTGGGTGAGTGAGTGAGTGTGTGTGTGTGGGTGAGTGAGTGGGTGAGTGAGTGTGTGAGTGAGTGGGTGAGTGAGTGAGTGGGTGAGTGTGTGAGTGTGTGGGTGAGTGAGTGTGTGTGGGTGAGTGAGTGGGTGAGTGAGTGTGTGAGTGTGTGTGTGAGTGAGTGAGTGGGTGAGTGAGTGGGTGAGTGGGTGAGTGAGTGAGTGAGTGGGTGAGTGAGTGGGTGAGTGAGTGGGTGAGTGAGTGAGTGGGTGGGTGAGTGAGTGAGTGGGTGAGTGAGTGAGTGGGTGAGTGAGTGGGTGAGTGTGTGAGTGTGTGAGTGAGTGAGTGGGTGAGTGGGTGTGTGTGTGAGTGAGTGAGTGGGTGAGTGAGTGGGTGAGTGGGTGTGTGAGTGAGTGTGAGTGAGTGGGTGAGTGAGTGAGTGTGTGAGTGGGTGAGTGAGTGAGTGAGTGGGTGAGTGGGTGAGTGGGTGAGTGAGTGAGTGGGTGAGTGGGTGAGTGAGTGAGTGGGTGAGTGGGTGAGTGAGTGGGTGAGTGAGTGAGTGTATGGGTGAGTGAGTGAGTGGGTGAGTGAGTGAGTGAGTGGGTGAGTGGGTGAGTGAGTGAGTGAGTGGGTGAGTGAGTGAGTGGGTGAGTGAGTGGGTGAGTGAGTGAGTGAGTGGGTGAGTGAGTGAGTGTGTGAGTGAGTGGGTGGGTGAGTGAGTGAGTGAGTGGCTGAGTGGGTGAGTGAGTGGGTGAGTGAGTGGGTGAGTGAGTGAGTGAGTGTGTGAGTGGGTGAGTGAGTGAGTGGGTGAGTGGGTGAGTGAGTGGGTGAGTGAGTGAGTGAGTGGGTGAGTGAGTGAGTGTGTGAGTGGGTGAGTGAGTGAGTGGGTGAGTGGGTGAGTGAGTGGGTGAGTGAGTGGGTGAGTGAGTGAGTGGGTGAGTGGGTGAGTGAGTGAGTGGGTGAGTGGGTGAGTGAGTGAGTGGGTGAGTGGGTGAGTGGGTGAGTGAGTGAGTGGGTGAGTGGGTGAGTGAGTGTGTGGGTGAGTGTGTGGGTGAGTGAGTGAGTGAGTGGGTGGGTGAGTGAGTGAGTGGCTGAGTGGGTGAGTGAGTGGGTGAGTGAGTGAGTGGGTGAGTGAGTGGGTGAGTGAGTGTGTGGGTGAGTGTGTGGGTGAGTGAGTGAGTGAGTGGGTGGGTGAGTGAGTGAGTGAGTGGCTGAGTGGGTGAGTGAGTGGGTGAGTGAGTGAGTGGGTGAGTGAGTGAGTGAGTGGGTGAGTGAGTGAGTGAGTGGGTGAGTGGGTGAGTGAGTGAGTGAGTGTGTGAGTGAGTGAGTGGGTGAGTGGGTGAGTGAGTGAGTGGGTGAGTGTGTGAGTGTGTGTGTGAGTGGGTGAGTGAGTGGGTGAGTGAGTGAGTGAGTGGGTGAGTGAGTGGGTGAGTGAGTGAGTGGGTGAGTGTGTGAGTGAGTGAGTGGGTGAGTGTGTGAGTGTGTGTGTGGGTGAGTGTGTGTGTGTGTGTTGGTTCACCACGTGGCCTACACGGGGGACCTTGGCCCCGTGTGTGGCTGCTTTGGTGAACTCTGACAGAGTTTAGAGGTCGCACCAACACGTGGTGAAGACTCACAGCCGTGTTGATAACAACAGCGATAACGCACACACGCAGACACACACACAGACACACACACAGACACACACACACACAGACACACACACAGACACACACACACACACAGACACACACACACACAGACACACCACACACACACACACACACAGACACACCACACACACTCACCACACACACACACCACACACACACACTCAACACACACACACCACACACACACACCACACACACACACACACACCACACACACACTCACACCACACACACCACTCACCACACACACACCACTCACACCACACTCACCACACACACACTCACCACACACACTCACCACACACACACACCACACACACACACTCAACACACACACACCACACACACACACCACACACACACACACACACCACACACACACTCACACCACACACACCACTCACCACACACACACCACTCACACCACACTCACCACACACACACACTCACCACACACACTTACCACACACACACCACACACACCCCACACACACCACACACACACACCACACACACACACACACCACACACACACCACACACACCACACACACCACTCACCACACACACCACACACACACACTCACCACACACACCTACCACACACACCACACTCACCACACACACACTACACACACACACCACACACACTCACTACACACACACCACACACACACTCACTCACTCACCACACACTCACTCACTACACACTCACCACACACACACTCACCACACACACACACCACACACACACACCACACACACACCACACTCACTACACACACCACACACACACTCACTCACACTCACTCACTCACACTCACTCACTACACACTCACTAACTCACCACACACTCACTCACCAAACACACACTCACCACACTCACTCACTCACTCACCAAACACACACTCACCACACACACTCACTCACTCACCACACACACACTCACCACACACACACACCACACACACACACCACACACACACCACACTCACTACACACACCACACACACACTCACTCACACTCACTCACTCACACTCACTCACTACACACTCACTAACTCACCACACACTCACTCACCAAACACACACTCACCACACTCACTCACTCACTCACCAAACACTCACTCACCAAACACACACTCACCACACACACACTCACCACACTCACTCACTCACCAAACACTCACTCACCAAACACACACTCACCACACTCACTCACTCACCAAACACTCACTCACCAAACACACACTCACCACACACACTCACCACACACACTCACTCACTCACCACACACACTCACCACACTCACTCACTCACATTCACTCACTACACACTCACTCACTACACACACACTCACTCACCAAACACACACTCACCACACTCACTCACCACACACACTCACTCACTCACCACACACTCACTCACCAAACACACACTCACCACACACACTCACCACACACACTCACTCACTCACCACACACACTCACCACACTCACTCACTCACATTCACTCACTACACACTCACTCACTACACACACACTCACTCACCAAACACACACTCACCACACTCACTCACCACACACACTCACTCACTCACCACACACACACTCACCACACTAACACTCACCACACACACTCACAAACCATACTCACTCACCACACACACACACTCACTCACCACTAACACTCACCGCACTCACCACCCTCACCACACTAAAACTCACCACACAACACTAACACTCACCACTAACACTCACCACACACACTCACCACTAACACTCACCACACTCACCACCCTCACCACACTAAAACTCACCACACAACACTAACACTCACCACTAACACTCACCACACACTGACCACACTAACACTCACCACTAACACTCACCACACTCACCACACTAACACTCACCACTAACACTTACCACTGACACTCACCACACTAACACTCACCACACTCACCACTAACTCTCACCACACTCACCACTAACACTCACCACTCTAACACTAACACTCACCACTAACACTCACCACTCACCACACTAACACTCACCACTAACACTCACCACTAACACTTACCACTAACACTCACCACTCACCACACTAACACTCACCACACTAACACTCAACACACACACACTCACCACACTAACACTCACAACACTAACACTCACCACACACACTCACCACACACACTCACTCACTCATCACTAACACTCACCACTAACACTTACCACTAACACTCACCACTCTCCACACTAACACTCACCACACACTAACACTAACACTCACCACACTACCACACTAACACTCACCACACACACTCACCACACTAACACTCACCACTAACACTCACAACACTAACACTCACCACACTAACACTCACCACACTAACACTCACCACACTAACACTCACCACACTAACACTCACCACACACACTCACCACTAACACTCACCACACTCACCACCCTCACCACACTAAAACTCACCACACAACACTAACACTCACCACTAACACTCACCACACACTCACCACACTAATACTAACACTCACCACACTCACCACTAACACTCACCACACTCACCACTAACACTCACCACACTAACACTCACCACTAACACTCACCACACTCACCACACTAACACTCACCACTAACACTCACCACTAACACTCACCACACTAACACTCACCACACACACTCACCACACACACTAACACTCACCACACACACTAACACTCACCACACACACTAACACTCACCACACTAACACTCACCACACTCACCACTAACACTCACCACCCTCACCACACACACTCACCACTAACACTCACCACACACCCTCACCACTAACACTCACCACACTCACCACTAACACTCACCACCCTCACCACACACACTCACCACCCTCACCACACACACTCACCACACACACTCACCACACACACTCACCACACACCCTCACCACTAACACTCACCACCCTCACCACACACCCTCACCACACTCACCACTAACACTCACCACACACTCACCACACACCCTCACCACTAACACTCACCACCCTCACCACACTCACCACTCTAACACTAACACTCACCACACTCACCACAGACTCACCACTAACACTCACCACACCCTCACCACACTCACCACACACACTCACCACACTAACACTCACCACACAACAGTGACACCAGAAGCCTCAGGGCGGGCTCCGTGCTCCCCACACTACACTCACCACACTCACCACACTAACACTCACCACACTCACCACCCTCACCACACTAACACACTCACCACCCTCACCACACCCTCACCACACACTAACACTCACCACCCTCACCACCCTCACCACTAACACTCACCACACAACAGAGACACCAGTAGCCTCAGGGCGGGCTCCGTGCTCCCCACACTAACACTAACACTCACCACCCTCACCACACACTAACACTCACCACCCTCACCACACACACTCACCACACACCCTCACCACTAACACTCACCACACAACAGTGACACCAGTAGCCTCAGGGCGGGCTCCGTGCTCCCCAGCGCCTCCGAGAGGCGTCCCAGCGACCCCGCCATGGCCGCCTCCATCACTGCCGTCAACACTTCCGGTACCCTCGCGACACCGCGCGCGTGCTGTAACACGTCACTTCCGCCTCTACGCCACTCCCCCACGCCCCCACACCCCTCCCCCTTTCTCTCCACGCCCCTCCCCCTTTTTCTCCACGCCCCTCCCCCTTTTCTCCACGCCCCCTCCCCCTTTCTCTCCACGCCCCTCCCCCTTTCTCTCCACGCCCCTCCCCCTTTCTCTCCACGCCCCTCCCCCTTTCTCTCCACGCCCCTCCCCCTTTCTCTCCACGCTCCTCCCCCTTTCTCTCTATCCCCCTTCCTCCCCTTCCCCCACCCCCCTAATAATCTATAGAGACTAGGGTCTAACTTTATAAAGTAAAGTCTAATAATGTATAGAGACTAGAGTCTAACTTTACAAAGTAAAGTCTAATAATGTATAGAGACTAGAGTCTAACTTTATATAGTAAAGTCTAATAATGTTTAGAGACTAGAGTCTAACTTTATATAGTAAAGTCTAATAATGTATAGAGACTAGAGTCTAACTTTATATAGTAAAGTCTAATAATCTATAGAGACTAGAGTCTAACTTTACATAGTAAAGTCTAATAATGTATAGACACTAGAGTCTAACTTTACATAGTAAAGTCTAATAATCTATAGAGACTAGAGTCTAACTTTACAAAGTAAAGTCTAATAATGTATAGAGACTAGAGTCTAACTTTATATAGTAAAGTCTAATAATGTTTAGAGACTAGAGTCTAACTTTATATAGTAAAGTCTAATAATCTATAGAGACTAGAGTCTAACTTTACATAGTAAAGTCTAATAATGTTTAGAGACTAGAGTCTAACTTTATATAGTAAAGTCTAATAATCTATAGAGACTAGAGTCTAACTTTACATAGTAAAGTCTAAAAATGTATAGAGACTAGAGTCTAACTTTACAAAGTAAAGTCTAATAATGTATAGAGACTAGAGTCTAACTTTATATAGTAAAGTCTAATAATGTATAGAGACTAGAGTCTAACTTTACATAGTAAAGTCTAATAATGTATAGAGACTAGAGTCTAACTTTATATAGTAAAGTCTAATAATGTATAGAGACTAGGGTCTAACTTTATAAAGTAAAGTCTAATAATGTATAGAGACTAGAGTCTAACTTTACAAAGTAAAGTCTAATAATGTATAGAGACTAGAGTCTAACTTTATAAAGTAAAGTCTAATAATGTTTAGAGACTAGAGTCTAACTTTATATAGTAAAGTCTAATAATGTATAGAGACTAGAGTCTAACTTTATATAGTAAAGTCTAATAATGTTTAAAGACTAGAGTCTAACTTTATATAGTAAAGTCTAATAATGTATAGAGACTAGAGTCTAACTTTATATAGTAAAGTCTAATAATGTATAGAGACTAGAGTCTAACTTTACATAGTAAAGTCTAATAATGTATAGAGACTAGTCTAACTTTACAAAGTAAAGTCTAATAATGTATAGAGACTAGAGTCTAACTTTACATAGTAAAGTCTAATAATGTATAGAGACTAGAGTCTAACTTTATATAGTAAAGTCTAATAATGTATAGAGACTAGAGTCTGACTTTACATAGTAAAGTCTAATAATGTATAGAGACTAGAGTCTAACTTTATAAAGTAAAGTCTAATAATCTATAGAGACTAGAGTCTAACTTTACATAGTAAAGTCTAATAATGTTTAGAGACTAGAGTCTAACTTTATATAGTAAAGTCTAATAATCTATAGAGACTAGAGTCTAACTTTACATAGTAAAGTCTAAAAATGTATAGAGACTAGAGTCTAACTTTACAAAGTAAAGTCTAATAATGTATAGAGACTAGAGTCTAACTTTATATAGTAAAGTCTAATAATGTATAGAGACTAGGGTCTAACTTTATAAAGTAAAGTCTAATAATGTATAGAGACTAGAGTCTAACTTTACAAAGTAAAGTCTAATAATGTATAGAGACTAGAGTCTAACTTTATATAGTAAAGTCTAATAATGTATAGAGACTAGAGTCTAACTTTATATAGTGAAGTCTAATAATCTATAGAGACTAGAGTCTAACTTTATAAAGTAAAGTCTAATAATCTATAGAGACTAGAGTATAACTTTACATAGTAAAGTCTAATAATGTATAGAGACTAGAGTCTAACTTTATATAGTAAAGTCTAATAATCTATAGAGACTAGAGTCTAACTTTACATAGTAAAGTCTAATAATGTATAGAGACTAGAGTCTAACTTTACATAGTAAAGTCTAATAATCTATAGAGACTAGAGTCTAACTTTATATAGTAAAGTCTAATAATCTATAGAGACTAGAGACTGTCTAACTTTATATATCTGTAAAACTTTATCTAAAGTTTAATTATAATCTACAGAGACCAGGATCTGTATAACTTTATTTAAAGTCTAATTATAATCTACAGAGACTAGGCTTTGTATAACTTTATCTAAAGTCTAATTATAATCTACAGAGCCCAGGCTTTGTATAACTTTATCTAAAGTCTAATTATAATCTACAGAGACCAGGATCTGTGTAACTTTATCTAAAGTCTAATTATAATCTACAGAGACCAGGCTCTGTGTAACTTTATCTAAAGTCTAATTATAATCTACAGAGACCAGGATCTGTAAAACTTTATCTAAAGTCTAATTATAATCTACAGAGACCAGGATCTGTGTAACTTTATCTAAAGTCTAATTATAATCTACAGAGACCAGGATCTGTGTAACTTTATCTAAAGTCTAATTATAATCTACAGAGCCCAGGCTTTGTATAACTTTATCTAAAGTCTAATTATAATCTACAGAGACCAGGATCTGTGTAACTTTATCTAAAGTCTAATTATAATCTACAGAGACCAGGCTCTGTGTAACTTTATCTAAAGTCTAATTATAATCTACAGAGACCAGGATCTGTAAAACTTTATCTAAAGTCTAATTATAATCTACAGAGACCAGGATCTGTGTAACTTTATCTAAAGTCTAATTATAATCTACAGAGACCAGGATCTGTGTAACTTTATCTAAAGTCTAATTATAATCTACAGAGACCAGTATCTGTAAAACTTTATCTAAAGTCTAATTATAATCTACAGAGACCAGGCTCTGTAAAACTTTATCTAAAGTCTAATTATAATCTACAGAGACCAAGCTTTGTATAACTTGATCTAAAGTCTAATTATAATCTACAGAGCCCAGGATCTGTGTAACTTTTTCTAAAGTCTAATTATAATCTACAGAGACCAGGCTTTGTAAAACTTTATCTAAAGTCTAATTATAATCTACAGAGACCAGGATCTGTATAAATTTATCTAAAGTCTAATTATAATCTACAGAGACCAGGATCTGTATAATTTTATCTAAAGTCTAATAATCTACAGAGACCAGGCTTTGTATAACTTTATCTAAAGTCTAATTACAATCTACAGAGACCAGGATCTGTGTAACTTTATCTAAAGTCTAATTATAATCTACAGAGACCAGGCTTTGTAAAACTTCATCTAAATTCTAATTATAATATACAGAGACCAGGATCTGTATAACTTTATCTAAAGTCTAATTATAATCTAGAGACCAGGATCTGTGTAACTTTATCTAAAGTCTAATTATAATCTACAGAGACCAGGATCTGTATAACTTTATCTAAAGTCTAATTACAATCTACAGAGACCAGGATCTGTAAAACTTTATCTAAAGTCTAATTATAATCTACAGAGACCAGGATCTGTATAACTTTATCTAAAGTCTAATCATAATCTACAGAGACCAGGCTTTGTGAAACTTTATCTAAAGTCTAATTATAATCTACAGAGACCAGGATCTGTATAACTTTATCTAAAGTCGAATTATAATCTACAGAGACCAGGCTTTGTAAAACTTTATCTAAAGTCTAATTATAATCTACAGAGACCAGGATCTGTATAACTTTATCTAAAGTCTAATTATAATCTACAGAGACCAGGATCTGTAAAACTTTATCTAAAGTCTAATTATAATCTACAGAGACCAGGATCTGTATAACTTTATCTAAAGTCTAATTATAATCTATAGAGCCCAGGATCTGTGTAACTTTATCTAAAGTCTAATTATAATCTACAGAGCCCAGGATCTGTGTAACTTTATCTAAAGTCTAATTATAATCTACAGAGACCAGGATCTGTAAAACTTTATCTAAAGTCTAATTACAATCTACAAAGACCAGGATCTGTGTAACTTTATCTCAAGTCTAATTATAATCTACAGAGACCAGGCTTTGTAAAACTTTATCTCAAGTCTAATTACAATCTACAAAGACCAGAATCTGTGAAACTTGATCTAAAGTCTAATTATAATCTACAGAGACCAGGAAATTGTGAAACTTTATCTTATAACCCAGGACTCCGAATGCGAGCTTTGTATAACTTTATTGGGCAAAGTTCTAAATAATAATACACAGACAGAGACAGACAGAGAGAGAGAGAGAGTCCAGAGGTTCATACAACTTTCTCGACCGCGCGTCTTACTCGCCCCGCTATGTGTGTGTGTGTGGACACCACAACGTTTGCGTTCGACTTCACAGACAGCGGCTGGGTGGGGGATCTTGCGACGTCAAAGCATCTTAGCGGGTCGTGATTTGAAGCATCTTAGCAGGTCGTGATTTGAAGCATCTTAGCGGGTCGTGATTTGAAGCATCTTAGAAGGTCGTGATTTGAAGCATCTTAGCAGGTCGTGATTTGAAGCATCTTAGAAGGTCGTGATTTGAAGCATCTTAGAAGGTCGTGATTTGAAGCATCTTAGAAGGTCGTGATTTGAAGCATCTTAGAAGGTCGTGATTTGAAGCATCTTAGAAGGTCGTGATTTGAAGCATCTTAGCAGGTCGTGATTTGAAGCATCTTAGAAGGTCGTGATTTGAAGCATCTTAGAAGGTCGTGATTTGAAGCATCTTAGCAGGTCGTGATTTGAAGCATCTTAGCGGGTCGTGATTTGAAGCATCTTAGCAGGTCGTGATTTGAAGCATCTTAGCGGGTCGTGATTTGAAGCATCTTAGAAGGTCGTGATTTGAAGCATCTTAGAAGGTCGTGATTTGAAG